GGCGCAGGGGAACCAGCGAAGTAAATAACAAACTCTATGAGAGCTTTGTCACTGGTTTCAACCGAGCTGCCGGTGACAGTAATGCCGACAAAGTCACCGCTGACTGAACTGGTCCTGAAAAGTCTATCCATCTGATGAAAGAATGAGAGGCATTTTGAAACTCCAAATCACCTCAAATAAAGCTATGGGGACTCAAATCCTTCATATTCAGAAGCAGAAAAAGTATAAATAAAATCAACTTCTCATCTGAGGTAAATTCATGGCTAACCAATATGCTTTCTCTACAAACGGCCCAGCATGTCAAAAGAAAAATGTTTTGATTCTGATTTTTTCACTATTTCGCTTTAAATAGGCAAAAACATCATAACTGCACTGAAAGAGTTGGTTTACTTTCGGCCATCTCACAGTGGGGGGGGGGCTGGAAAGCACGGCAGTGGAAAAGTAAACCCTTCTGTCTGACTTATCTCAGAATTTTACCAATAAATTTTGGCCAATTATCCTCGGTGTTCATTTTAATCACAGGGTTCATGTAAAAGGTTACCTATCAATAAACCATGTGAAGGCTTTCTTTAATACTCTATGGAGTTGTTGCAAAGTAAAAGTTCTTGCACTTTAGCAAAGAAGTAGTTATTACACTTTTAAAATGGGAGAAAACTTTTCTTGCGATAATCTCAACAACTTTTTTCTTCAAAATCCATGTGCCCACCCCTCTGAAAATGGTGAAGATTTGAAGGCGTGTCTATAAAGCGTCTGGAAAGGAATCATTTTGAATAATAAATAATTTTGCCACTCTGTTCACACGAGCACTGGGAGCATGGCCTCAACATGCCGTCTCCGTCTCCTCCCTTGTTTCATTTTTATTGCTGATAAGGCAGATTTTTATGCACAGAGCTTTATCCACTACTCACATCATCTCTGAGGGCAGGAAGTCTTGTTTGGACATCACTGGCAGCAAATGGGCTGGCTATGGAGCCAATCCTTACCAAATTCACACTGCCTGTGGTATCATATGTTGCTGTCAAGAAAGCAAAAGACAAATGCTACTATCACATGCAATGGTCAATGGTGATGTGTTTACGCTGGAACAGCAAAGTACAGTGTAGAGAATGATGGTAGAGCCATTTCAGTTGGAAGTATGCGTTAAACATTCCCAGGTTTTTATCATTTGAAGTTCACAATATTTATAATAAGTCCGCTGGATCCTATTTCCTTTTTATCACTTCAAATTGAATTGGCCAAATAGTTGACAACCAAATGTTAAATTTTTTTTTCAGGTGATTGTTTCATATTTAAAAATCGATAGAAACAAAAGTAATGTTTTTTGAACGCACACGTCTCATTAAATAGTAAATAAAACTTACATTACTTGGCAAATATTTGATCAAAATTAAACAAATTGTCTCACAAGATCAAAATGATCAACTTACGGAGTGTTTCTTGCACGACCACGGAGAAAGAGCAGGTGTCTGTGTTACCAGACACGTCTGTTGCTGTATATGTGACTTGAGTTGAACCAGTTTCAAACTCATCACCCGGATTTCGGTTAGATGTCAGAGTAAAGTTATTGGTGTCGTTTGCTGTCGGTGGCGTCCAGAAGACAGCAGCTACATCACTGGTGGACAGGACGTAGACAGTTTGGTCAGATGGACAGTCTATAATGACCGGGTCCCCACGATCTGTAAATAAACAGGAATATGTCTCCAGACTACAAAATTTATGTTTTCTCCTTCGTTTAAAGAAAGATTATTAGCATCCTAAGAGACTGCCTGGGCAAAACTTAGTAAATCAGAATTGGGACGTGTTTGTGACCTTGAAGTCATAAATAATTTAAGATATAGTTAAAATTACATCTTCATCATAAAGCATTAGTGCTAACAGCCTCCAATCGACCGATTGCACCCGCTAAGTCACATGACCTGGAGTGGGTATAAATATCAACAACCATGGCGTCCACCAAAGGCAAAGTGTTTCATACTCATTTACCAAGAATAAAGCCGATGGTTTGTACTGTACTCAGACTACTGATGTGCGGGGTACTATAATGAAAAACAACACTCTAAACACACTTTGCTATGGCAGTGATACCCACTCCAGGTGAAGTGATTTAGAGGGCGCAATCAGTCTATTTCAATGTACATGTAATTTTCCCCACACTCTAAGAGGGTCCGGGATTAAACGCATCCTCAGGGCTCAGATATGTGAAGTACCAAACATTTTACCTTCCACAGTAATGACAAAGACACACTGGGCAGACTGACTGGCCGAGTCGTAGGCTGTGAAGGTGACAGTGGTGTCACCGATTGGGAACTGAGTGCCAGGACCGTGACTACCAAACAGCATTGGGCTGCTGCGGTCATCAGTGGGGTTTGGATAAGAGAAGCTGACCGTGGCGTAAGGCTGACCAGGATCAGTCGGCACCACAGTGCTGGAGGGGCAAGAGATGAACTCTGGAGGGGCATCGTCTGAAGAATACAACCAAACAAAACACACCCAGCTGTATTTGACGCTGTCAACGTTTGGGATGCATTTGGTTGCCCAACGTGATGGCTGAGGGACACAATGATGCCTTGATGCCTAAAGTAACATAGCACACTCACTGCTAAAAACAACAGCCATGAGCCACTGCGACAAAATAAGGCCTGACGAGGATTTTTTATCCCGGCCAACCAAACGACTTCTCCATTTTCTACTGCGCACAGCGAGTCCGTAGCATCGGTCAAAAGTTCTTAAGTACAGTTTTTTGTTTCTTCAGCAACACGACAGCTACAACTTTGGCAGCAATTCCTCTGCTTGAGATTGGTAATGTGCTAAGCATTCTGTACTTGGTGGGGATTTTTTAATCTTATACCCAAGAAATCTCTTTCTTCAAAAGTTATCATTTGTCAGAATGTGAATGTAGCACATAAATGCATTTTATAAAATAAAAGAACTTTGAATACTTTGCTGGTCATTTCTTTGTAGGCTCTAATCATCAACCTTCCTCTTACAAAAAGCCGATAAAGACACACATGAACACAAATATAAACGAGTGAAAAATTACATACTCTCAATGATTACTTCAAATTCGCAATTAGCCACATTTCCGCTGGGATCTATAGCAGTGTAGATGACGTCATACATCCCCACATTTAGCATTTCTCCCGGGGCGTGGTTATCGTTGGCTTGCAAGGTGAACTCCCCTGAATTATCTGAGGCTGTGGGCGGAGTCCAACTGACAACTATGGGGGCATTATTCATGGTGACCTCATTAATGTTTGCAGGACACCCTATGATCACCGGATCTTCTTGATCTATAACAAGAACAGGAAAAGGGGCACCATTTCTTTCATCAGAAACCTTCAGACAAACTAGGCCCAGCAAATCTATGGACAAAATGCTGTGACAGCACTTATACCAGAAAAATTGTCCATGGCTACCAATACAAGTTGACATGCCAAGAGGACTTTGCTACCAAACATGGCAACGGTTTGGAAATCAGAAATTTGGAAAAGTGCCTTATTGTGGCAAAAAAGTCACAAATCTCAGTTCATGTTACCTTTGTACAGAGTACGAACCAGTGTGTATTAGTGCATGTGACCTCCCTTTTATGAAGACAGTTGGTCGGGTAGTGCGCCATATCAGGCAAACTGGCTGTCATAAAGCCTGCAGTTTACATGGGGCATTTTAATCCTCAAAATTGGGCTTTTTAAGACCATTGTAGTCGTCCATCTTCAGTCTGAACCTTTGTAAAAAAGGCATTTATGTTGATTTATCCATTATGAGTGCATTTGTGAAGTCAATCTGACGAAAGGTTTGGCTGTCATTGTGATTCAGTTTTCATTGCCTCATACACGTGTCCCCTGCATGATCTGGAATAGCCAGTAACAAAGGTAAGCTGGCTTCCCTGACTTGAACAAATGGATGCCCAATTTTCAAATGACTGGTATCAAAACTGATCCTTATGTAGATTTTGTTGAAAAAACTTTTCAAACACTGGCAAGAATGAAAATTGCAGTGTGGAAAAAATCAGAAAAACATGCTGGCATATCTACCCCTTCCAGGCTCTTTTAGGATTTTATACCTAGCACAGTAATGTTGAATTCACAGAATGCTGTCTGCCCAATGGAGTCCGTTGCTACGTATATCACCATCCACATTCCAATAGCGAACTGTCTGCCTGGCATATAGCCACTCTGCTCAATGACAATAGGTGTACTGCGGTCATCTTGGGCCTGAGGCACAGCCCATGTCACCAGAGCGTAGGACTGTGTCATGACGGTGCTGACCACAATGTTGGATGGGCAAGATATGAAGACTGGGGGAGAGTCTCCTGAATTAGCTAGAAAAAAATAGTTGGCTTTTGTAAGGGGTTTGCATCCTACAGAGCTTTAGAATACTCACTGTGGTACTACAATAAAATGGGTAAAGTTATGAGAGAAAATAAGACACTTGACAAAAGAAATTAGACTGGCCAAACACTGCACTAAGAAAGGAGCAAAACTGCATTCTACAAAGTAAATGATTTCAGGATAACATCATAATAGACTTCTTGGAGAAAAAAAAACATATAACGGACTATTTTAATATGCAATATCATTTGGCGATCGGTTCCGGAGTAAATTGAGTTAATTTCATAGATCAAATGACAACAGATTTAACTGCTTCAGTCATGTTGGTTGATATGTAAACATAGAGGGATTACGTCTATAATAACATAGGGCGTTTAGTTCTGATGGTTTCTGTTTGCAATGCCGTGTGACGTCTACACTCATCCCCATGCTTGAGTTTTCCCACTGAAGCATAGATTATAAACAGGCTGAAACCACAGGGTGTTTCAAAAAGTATACATTTAGAAAATCGTCCGCAAATTGGAAGTTCTATTAGTTTCCAGAAATCTTTTATTATGGATCAATAGACCTTCGGTTTCTTGCTTTGTTTGCCATCACATCAATTATCAGCCATTCTGCATGAGTGAGCAGCGGCAATTTACTTTTTTCAACTTTAAATTGGCTTGCACACAGAGGTGAAAGGTCAATTACAGTCCCTGGTTGCAAAGTTTGGGCCTGTGCTCTCTTTCCCCAAAGTTCCCAAACAAATTCCTTTAGCCCTTTGCCCTCCTCAAAATTTTAATCCAGAATTGTCTTTATTAGCAAAATGACAACAGCATGGTATAAAAAGGCAATTGTGCATATAGCAATGAATCTTTCACCACGCAAGAATGCAAGTTCATGAGGATTTCATGTCACATGTGCTTATCTTAGTCCTCTACGTGGCCTCCATTTCTCCTCTCACACACTTCAGGTCTCCGCATGTGGTAAACAGCACGTCTTATCATTGATGTATTTTGCCCCAAAACATCAACCTCAAAAGTTGACCCTCGGAATTATCCAGAAGGATGAAACCCTCTTACGCAACATTCTATCACGACAATGTGCTAATTCAGATCATTGGAAATTCATGTGTCGAGTGTTCTTTTCCATGGACCACTGAAATTTGTTGTCACTTTGGTTTCGAGAATAAAAAAAAGGTCCACAGATTATGGGCGTGTGCTCCATGGTGTGTAGAGGGCAAACATTTAATGCAATTTGTTTGGGAACTTAGGAAAAACAAAGCACAGGCCCAAACTTTGCAACCATGCTCTGTAACTCTGTTTTAACTCCTTCAACTCTGTGTGCAAGCCAATTTCAAGTTGAAAAAGGTAAATGGCCTGTGCTCACTCATGCAAAACAGCTGATAATGGATGTGATGGTAAACACAACAACAAGAAACCTTGTCTACCGATACATGATAAAAGATTTCTGAAAACTAATAAAACGTTTATTTTGAAGACAATTTTCTAATGTGTTCTTTTTTTGGAAACACCCTGTAGACTGTGGAAGTTGGCGTGCATACACGATTAGGCAACGTAGCAAGTTGTTCTGCAAACCAGTTTTAAGTTTCCAAAAAACAACGTACTGAAGAAATGTTATTTGAAAGGACTGTGTTGGCGGTATATTGACATTTTAAACAGTTTTTTTCGGGGGGGGGGAGTGAGCGAAAATAATACTGTGCTTAAGATAAATCTGTTGTAGAATAAGACCATCGGCAAGTGATCAAAGTTGAGGACCGTCAGTTTCCTTGTTCTCTTGTCTAAGAGGCAACATAATGATACTCACCAATGACAGTGATATTGACATTGCAAGTGGCCATGTTTTCAGCGTCATCCATGGCGGTGAATGCAACAAGGGTTGTGGATCCAACATCGAGCATTGCCAAGTTGTAATTAGTTGACACAGACAGTGGGCCATCATTATCGGTAGCGATTGGCATGCCACTGGTTGGCACAATGACGTTACCAAATGCGTCAGCCATGAATTCCAAAGTGACAGGGCAAAATGTGAACACAGGATCTTCATTATCTAAAAATTGACCAAAATAGTAGAGTGTTGTAAAAACCAAGCCTGTGAAAGGGTCTCCTGTTTGTCCTAAATGTAAAGTCGGCATGTTTTTGTTAATTAGACAATCGATTCATCACGAACACAAGTTATGTAAAAAATTCTTGGGAATTCTCCATCCAGATGGAATGGAAAACACTGAAATCCATGAATATCTTTGAAAGCTAAGACTTATGGGACATAGTATTTACAAAATTATGGACTTGCCAATAAAGGGGAGATTGCATAGCCTGTAATATTTTGCCACACAGGATTGGCACCATAGCGTTATAGCCATGTAATTTTTTTTAATCCAATTATATTAAGTTTGCTCAATGAAACCAAATCACTGATCGCTATTTAGTGTTACAGTCATGATAGTGGACTAGATTTGCTTGTACCTAAAGTAGCCAATAATGAAAACTCTAATCTAATTATGATCAGACACAGCTGAACCAGACCTAGGACAATTTCAGATTTTTGTATAAATTCTTGCTTGTCAAGATTGAATACCAAGCAGCTGCTTTTCTGAAGAGCTTTCTCGACGCGAAAATCAGATATTTACAGGAAAATGACTGGATAAACTGTGTAGGGTGTGATTTTAATTTACCTGGTGTAAATGAATTGACAGGTATAGTATAGACACAATATGTGTACTTATAGTGTGGGAAAATACGACATACAAATTCTCATGAAAATGAGCTTTTAAGATAAATAATCCAGCAAACTTTTTCCAATTAAACGGAGAAATTACCAAGGATAGTTGCATTGAATGAGCAGTTGGCCCTGTTGCCTGCAGCGTCAATGGCTATGTAGGTCACCACAGTGATTCCTATGGGCAGGACAGCCATGGGTTCGTAGTTGGAGGTTAGTTTGGTCACTCCAACATTGTCTGAGGCTGTTGGGGCCACCCAGAAGGCAGTACCAGTGGCCATGCTCGGTGAGGCAGAGCTAACAAAGTTGGAGGAACATCTGCTGAAAACTGGGCTCTCATTATCTGAACAAGAAAAGTTCAATGCAGCGATTAACCCTGACCTCCAAGGTGCTGTGTGAACGATATGAAGCTGCATGTGACATGGTTTCACAAACACGCCACTTTCTACAGTTTTGCATAAATGCACTTTGGCTTTTAAATTATTAACTTTTCAAATTGTGAGGTAGGAGCTGACCTTTGATTTATAAACTACTCAGCCAAGTACCTTCCACATGATGACAAACAGAAATGTAACAGACATTAACACTAACTGCTACCTTCAGCAACCGGAACTATTGAAAGATTGTTACAATTTGTGCACATTTAAATGAAAAGTGAATCCATTCAAAGAGCATACACACAATGAATATTAACAGGGAACCTTCACAAGTTTGGGGTGTACAGAACAGTGGCCTTTACGTCCATACCTATGACAGTTACAAAGAAGTCACAACTTGCATTCCTTCCGTCCTTGCCTGCGATGGTGTAAGTAACCACAGCATGGCCCACCTCAAACCGACTGTTGTTAGCATGGGAAGAGTTGACCGCCACCACAATGCTGCTGTTAAACACAGGCGCAGGCCACGATGCCGTGCTGCTGTTCACACTGGGATCAGTGAACAGGATCACATCGGCTGGGCAGGCTATCATCAGCATGTCACTGGCTGAGGTGGGAACAAGAAAGAGATCAATAGAAAGGGCAAAAGAAGTCAATGATGCACGCTGTATGAGGAACGAAGAGGATTAGGGTGTGATGAGGACAGGGTACAAAAAGATAAAAGTGGATATGACACCGTTCAGAAGAAAAGGAGTGTAATGTCACGCACAGAGCTAGAACTTTTGGAAATTGCTTACTTCCAAAATTTCACGTCTCTTGGAAGAAGGTTTACGATTCGAATGAAAAATGTGTCCTTAATAATTTTGGAACAGAAAGTAGAGGGAGACTGAAAGGAAGAATCACACAAGCAAACGATAAACAACTGGACAGGGTTCAAGACACATAGGATATGGAAGGTAGGAGAGGATAAGAGAGCTGGGGGTGTGGCCTAACCGGGCTGAGGGAGGTGAATACGGGGCTTACAACTTAATACAGTCAGGATTCACACTCACAGAAGACAATGACATTGAACGAACAACTGGCAGTGTTCGCAGATGGATCGGTGGCCGTGTAGATGACAAGGGTTCTCCCAATCAGGAACTCTGACGGCAATTGGGACAGCAACGAGACGTTGACGGAGCCCGAGTTGTCCTTGGCAATTGGTTCTGTCCAGTTGGCCAGTGTTGAATTCTCACCTCCCATCAACATCACTTCCAGGTCAGATGGACAGTTAGTGAACTCAGGGAGTTCATTGTCTATCAAGAAATGGAACTTTGCATTTATCATCGGATAACACCTGAAAATGGTGCAGTTTAAACCCTCTCAAATATTACATTTGAAAACGACGCAAAGTTTCTAGAGCCAACTTTGCTGTCTTAATACAAGCATTAGGATATCTTACATTTCTACACATTAGCCCACAAACATCACCACAAGGTTGAACCTTTTAATGGTGCATTTTAATGTGTCGTACCTGAGGCAAATTTTCTTGTAAGAGTTAAGCCCCCGTTAGCATTATTATAAAGGTTCGCTTTTGTACACTCCACCTGCTCAAAAGTAGATGCCAACACTTAAAAAATCGAGTAAGCCAAAAGTGCCACTGACCATGTCTGCATCATGTAAACAATGTTTTACATTCTGTTCGGAAAGTCTTGCTCTGGACACTCTCAGCTCAGTGCAAAAATGGATGAGCCTCATTCAGAGTAGCTAGTCTATTGGAATACTGAACTTCAAGATACAGGTAGTTTACTCACCAATGACTATTACTTCAAACTCGCAACGCCCAATGTTATTGTTGGGATCCAAAGCGATGTACAACACTGTTGTTGAGCCAATGGCAAATGAATCACCTGACCGACTGTTGCTGGTTGGCGTGATCACTGCACCGCTGTTGTCAATGGCAACTAGTGTATTCCAGGTGGCAATAGCCATGTCACTTCGTGGATCTGTCGCTGCAGTGACATTGTCGGGGCAGTTTTGAAAGACAGGACCCTCTTCATCTAATCAAAGATAAAAAGAACAGCCTCGCAAATTTATGTTTTAAAAGTCTGACAGCCTAGATTGTTTTGGAAAGTAACATTTTTGTCACAGTCAGTGAGTCTTCAGAGCACATTAAAGTAAAAATG